CGGTACCCTCCACTCATGACAAAAATTGACGGAAAATTTTTGCTTTTGCATCTTCGTTTGCTTGTGTCTGCACACATACATATACACACACACGCACTCACAAGTCATACACATGTCAGGTCACATCAAGTCAATGGTTAAGTCAATCACAATATGTACGAGTTCATTGGCAAATTTATATTTGCAGGTCTCATCTACCAGCCCACGTCTGGGGAAAAGCGGACCATTTACAGCCCACGTCCGGGGACAAGCGAACCATCTACAGCCCACGTCCGAGGACAAGCGGACCATTTACAGCCCACGTCCGGGGACAAGCGGACCATTTACAACTGGCCCACGTCCGGGGACAAGCGGACCATTTACAGCCCACGTCCGGGGACAAGCGGACCATTTACAACTGGCCCACGTCCGGGGACAAGCGGACCATCTACAGCCCACGTCCGAGGACAAGCAGACCATCTACAGCCCACGTCCGGGGACAAGCGGACCATTTACAGCCCACGTCCGGGGACAAGCGGACCATCTACAACCCACGTTCGGGGACAATCGAACCACCATCATTTCACGACGCAAGGTTCTCGATACACAAAGACTTGCAATCTCATCATCTGTCGACTTTCCTCAAGCATGGAAAGTATTATCCGGTGGATTTCTTCAAGCATAGAAAACCTCCAAATTCATATGTCGGCTTTCCTCATGCATGGAAAGTATCATGTGGTAGATTTCTTCAGGCTTAGAAAGTTACCAAATTCATCAGTCGGCTTTCCTCAGGCATGGAAAGCGTTTCAACAAATGTCATCCGGTGGATTCCTTCAAGCATAGGAAGCTGCCAAACTCATTTGTCACCGATACACTGGTGCCAGATATGTATTCTATCCTTTTACTCTTTTATCTGTGGAATTAACATTTTTCTGTAGGTATCGGCATATGTAGAGTGGTTTAGGATCGCAGGACTTCTTAAATTATTCTCCGTCCCTGTCGGCTACTTTGACTATCGTTTTCAAAACAGATGTTTCTACAAACTCAGTCAAAGTTGGGGCTTCTGTAGACACCTAAAAATGTCTCCCCAAAACCAAACCCGATGATGAACAACCTTTCACCTCCACTATTGGTCGGTTCAGTATTTAATCCCGAGAGTGCTTAAAAAATCGTATTTAATTAAATTCAATTTTTGAATAGTCCATGGGTTAGTCTTGATGTTTGGTCAATGCATAGTTTTAATTTCAGCCCAAACTTATTATTTAATTAGTCCAAACCTTTTTTTATTTTACTATTTTATTATTTATTTTGGCCCAAACTTTTTATTTATTTTATTTATTTTTTTCCCAAATAATAATAAAATCAGAAAATGGCCCGAAATTATAAAATCGACACTTAAAATGCTGAACGAAATTAGGGTTAAAATGAATTTAAACGGAAAAGCGGACTGAAAACTCCCGCGTCACGGCAACAGTCCACCGTGTCATGGGAAACTTTCCCGTCTAATGGTGGGGTTCCCCATGACACGGGAAACCTGCCGTGACACGGGAATTTCCATGTCCTTTCCGCGTAAACCCTTAACGCGTTTTCTTCCCCGTTCACTAAATATTTCCCAAATCACACAAAATGTGCACCGTGTCACGGGAATGTTTCCCGTTTGACGATGGGATTTTCTGTGTCACGATACAGTTTGCCGTGTCACGGGATCCTTTTTTTAGGGTTTTTATCATTTTAGGGTTCCGTGTGTTCCCTCAGCACATTTTCTCTATAAATACCCCCTCATTTCTGATGTACGGGGCATCAATTAATTCTCTATTTTTCTCTCTTCTATGCTCTAGCCTATATACTAGCCTACCCTTCTTCTTCTTTCAAAATTCCTTCTTCAAGTACTCCAAGGAGTCCATACTTTACTCGTGGTTTTGTCCTTAGGCCAAGGCGTGAAAGATAGAACTTTTTGAGGGTTTGGCCCCAAATCAATTCTATTTAATTTAATTTAATTTAGTTATTGTTTTATTATTATTTCCTTGAAGTTACTAACTCGTTTATTATTTTGTAGTTGCAAACAAACAGAATCAAAGTAAGAATTATGTTCCTTTTATTTCTATTATTTTTCTAACGATTTTGTATTGTTAAAATTATTGTTAAATTGCTTCCAATATTAATGGTTATTCTATTATTTTTATGATCACCATATTGCATGTTTAAAGGAAATATGTAATTCAAAATCACTCCTAATAAGATAATTTGGACAACCGGTTTAGGTTCCTTTTTAATCTTGTTATTAAATCAAGTGATCACGATATTTTAGATTTATGTGTTGCATTAATATTCAACCAATTTCGATTAATAATAGTTTGGAGCAAACTAAATTTTTGTTTGTATGCCTTTGAGATCGCAGGAATCACTTTTCCCTATAAGAATCAAGTAGAGGCCAATATGGGCGAACGTGACTCCATGACTCACTTCGTACCATCATCCCCGATCCTCCTTTCACGGTTCCGAACCATATGGAGTTAGTAATCTCATGGATTATGAATGGGGTGTAACCTTCACGGGCCTTTGTTGTCCCTTTATCGTGGTTGCCTTTTATGATTCGTGAACGGTTTACAAGTTCCTTAAAACTTGTTGGCGGCTCCCTACTTTCCTTGTCCCTAATCGTTGTCCCTAATCGTATATGTCAATTTCCACTTCCTAAGAGTGCCAAGCATATTCACAACATGCTTTTACGTAGGCGCACTTCGAATGACGCCTACAATAATAATAGCAAGATCCTAGGCATGATACTAACAAGATTAACAACAAACCTTAAAATGTCACTAAACAATAAAAATCAAAGATTTAGCCCTAACATGATACTAACATGCTATTAGGAAAGAAACTAGGAAGCACCAAAGAAATATAATTGATATAATTAAGAAACTTATTCTTTACCCTAAACATCATACTAAGAAAAGCATCATAACATGATACTAGGAATCAAAATAACAACCTAAACATGATTTCTATATGTAATTTCAAGGAAAATAATAAATCAAAATAATTAAATTAAATAATTGAAAGAAAGTTTAGACTAGATTTGGGACAAAACTCTTAGAAGTTTAGATGCTTCGAATTATGCTAGGTGTGTCTAGATCTCGTGAATGCGGAACTTTGTTTGTGAAAATTTGTTTTAGAAAGAGAGAGAGAAAGAGAGTATCAAGATTTTCTTGATGAGAGTTGGTGATTTAAAACGGAGGTCTAAGGACGCTATTTATAATGAAAAAGTCCAGATTAGATAAAAAAGAATCGGAGTTTGCAAAGGAATGAAACACGTCACTGTCGCCGCAATAGCCCCTGTCACTAGGCGACAACCTGCCGTTCGGCGATGCAGGCGATTTTCTACACATTTTCTATTTTTGATAAAATCAAGCGTAAAAGTTCGTACTAGGGGTTAAACCGTAATTTCATTTAAAACACTTCTTTTATTCCAAATAAAACTCATAAAACTCAATTATCAATCCTAATCACATTAGGATCAAAAAAACCTTCTAGAAGACTATAATCAATCCTAATTGTATTAGGAATGATAATTCATAATAGGCCGTTCTTTAGATCATTGGGCCGCATATAAAGATCGAGCCGAGCCCAGTTTAGTAATTTGGCCATAACTTCCACATTATTCATCGGAATTGGGCTTATAATATATCGTTGGAAAACTCTTTTCGAGCCCTATCCATCTAAACTATTTTTCAACCCTTGTTACAGACCAAAATAAACTGGATTTTGCTATTTTCATAAAATAGGTTTTCGAAAACAGAAAAAGAGAATTTTAAAACTAACCGCAACACTTAGACTTTCCACACTTTAACTTCATTCGATTATGATTCGACGTAAAAGGTATTCATCACCGGGTTTGGTTTTGGGGAGACACAAATGGGTGTCTACACTACTATGTTATTATTATTATTATTATTATTATTATTATTATTATTATTATTATTATTATTATTATTATTATTATTATTATTATTATTATTATTATTATTATTATTATCATCATCATCTAGTTCAATAATGTCTTTTATTTTGAATTTTGAATGAAATAAAATGAGCTTTATATATATATATTTTTTATATGACCGAATCATAATGATTGCCTACGTATTCGTATTATGAAATCAGGTCTTTGCGTAGTTCTTTGTAATTATTATATAAATTTTTATTTTTTCTTTAATCTCTTATGTAGAAATTAAATGAAAAAAAAAATAATCAAACTTTGTTTAGACAAAGCTTAAATCAAAGTTTAATTTTTATTTTCCGTGTATATGTTATTTTCGAGAAACACACACTTTTTATCGCAAGTAAAAGTCGTAACTTCAATTGAGCGCAAAAATTACGGGTTTGCAGTTCGTCATCAGGTGGCGCGCGCAACATTAGAGGTTGCGCGAGCCTGTCGTGCGTAACTAGCACTACATAAAAATTATATATAGAAGAAAGTAAAAAATGCCTCTAATAATAACGATGTAGCCTCTAATATCTTTTCGAGATAATTATTCAAGTGCCTCTAATAATTCTGTCGCTAATTCATGGTTGCCTCTAAAGCCTCGTTTAGAGGTAATACTATGTATTGATTCTAAAGGCCCATATGTTTAGAGACAACTATATTATCTTGCCCCAAAACATAATTAGAGGCATTATTAAAATTTGCTTCTAAATACCATATTTATTTAGGGGCAACCATATAATTTTGACTCAAAATATAATTAGAGACATTAACTATTTGCTTCCAAATATCACACACATAATTTAGAGACAATCATGTAATTTTGTCACAAAATATAAGATGCAATTTTATATATTAATGCTGATTATATTTAGATCATATCGAAAATTAGATATGAAAGGTTTTAGAGGCACAATACATGATATATGCCGGTAATGTATTTATTCTAAATGTATAGAAAAAAAAAATTATGATATTACCTTCGTTGTAAATTTATAGGCAAAATAATTTTAAGGATTCACTTATAATTATAACATACCTTTATCATGAAGCCGCACTAGACGATGCAGCCTCCATGTAACAACTAAAACAGTTCTGTACCAAATAATTCTTTCCAATAAAGAATGAGTCTGAGGGCACTGCTTGAAACCCGTTCGAAGAAAGCGCACCATAAACTTGGTTTGTTTGATTTCCCAAACCAGCCAACCCAGCCCCATGGCTGTGAGAAGAATAAAGAAGATAGGTGGCTGGGCCATCAAATCTCGTGTTGGTTGGAAAAAAAAGCGAAAAAGGTAGTAAAGGGCAATTAATACAAAAATAAAGAAAAAAATCATGAAAAATTTTGCACCTTCTAACATAACAGAGTCGATCATTCTCATAACGAATTCTGCTTTCGTTTCCCCCGTATAGAGCACTGAGTTACTAAGGTTACGGTCTTCATCCCACTTTTCTAAGGTCACGTGAGGCCGTAAATAAAAAAAATATCATGATGAACATAGCTGATTTCAACAAATAAATAAAAAATGATATTATTAATAAATTAATAGTCATTACATAATTTGATCATCCTCTTAGCATAAGGCATAACCCTTAGCATACATATCCTAATTGAGAAATTTTTTAGTCTAGATTTGGTAACTTTTCCAGATCTATAACTTTCACGAAGGGACTGTGGTAAAAAAAAATTGTAAATTGATGATTTTGGAGCGACCAAAGCAGCAACTACATCACATCATTTATCTTCATAGGGGGCAGCAATAGCTTCACCAGACAACAATAGCTTCACTCTACAAAGGCAACAACATTTCAAGGAATAAGTATATGCAACATTTAACACAACCTGAAATGAAATAAGTAGGAATCTATCATAATCATAAAGAGCATAACATAACACTACCTTGATCATGATATTTGGTCACACACAACTGTACAAACACAATTGAGTACATTTAATAAATAAAAAATAAAATAAAAATCAACTTTTATACACAAATTTTGATTTCATTAGCAAACTGTTTCTTGATGGCCAAATTCAAAGATAGCATCACTAATTAATCTCCACCGATAACCAATTTTATGAGAATAAGGTTCTCATAAACAACTAGTATTTTAGAAGTAATTCCACAGGTAAATTCCAATTTCTTAAATAAGTAATAAAAAGAGTAGCCATGCTGAATTTTGATTAATGAGTAAACTGATCATCTAGACGCAAGAGGCATTACATATATATTAAAATTGGAAGCTCAAACTCTAGACAATTTAGGTAATGTTAGGACTATATATATAGCATAGAAATCATACCAATGAGCAATCAAAGACAACCACCACTGATTATGATTTATAAGCTCCCAAGAGCACAAACAGAATAATACTAAAACTTACAATGAATATAAAAAATAGTACTACTCCTCTCCATATTCTTCCATTTCATCATCCTCTCCATCCTCATCATCATCATCATCCTCATCCTCATCTTCATCTTCATCCACATCATCATTAACCTATAATTTCATAATTAATATGCAATAAAAAATCAAATTTAATTATATTATCATATAACAATATTAAACAATGAACATGTAAAAAAATATTAAAAAATGAAGTATACCTCATCCATATTTGTTTTAGACAGCCTAGATGGTTAAAAATATTTCCCATGGAGCCTTTCATAACCTCCATTTCCTTCTGAAGCCCTCTCATCTTTTTAGTCAAGCCTTAATTTTTCACATTTATTTCCTTTACCTCTTATTTAGCCTCCATTGCCTCATTATTTGCCTTGTCGGCTTCTTTGCGTAACTATTCACCTTCACTAAATGTCCCATATAATGATGTAATAGAAGGACTAACTCCCTTGCCACGATAACGACCACGTTTACCAACGGGTTTAACTTTTGCATAGATTTCTTCATCGGTCATATCTATTTCTCCCGCCTTTTGTTACACAAGGAGCTCTTTAATTTTTTACTACATAAAAAAATTATATGTAAGATTATACAAACAATGAAAAACTACTTACAAACACTAATATTCACAAATAAAATCAATTACATATACATAAGATTGATCCAAGATGGAGAAAAAGGTCACATTCTTTTGAACTTAAAACAAATTAAATGTATTTCTATTTCTACAGATTTTTTTGCAGTATTTCCTTCATAAAATGATTGAAAACCAACTTTAATAATTTGTTTCAACCTGCTTTGTCACATAATAAACATAAAACAACTCTAGCATCATTTCAATCACAGCACATATATGCTATATCCACATTTTATTTTCAGAATTGTCCTATCTTTAACAATATAGAAGTACCCATACAAAAAAAAAAAAAAAAAAAAAAAAAAAAGATACCATGGTTTTTTTGCCACATCAATGATAGGTGCTTTATCACTTTTTAAATGAGTTTCCTCATATAAATCCAACATGCTCGGCATTACTTTGTCACACTGAAATTGATATTATAAATAGTCATATAATCAAATTAATTTTTATTTTGTATTAAAAAATAGATAAAAAAGGAAGAGTTTACCATATCTTCCACTTTTTGAGCAAAACTCTTTGTTCCAGCAGCGTGTCCAACATCTTGGTAAGATCGATTGTCAACATTTCTTTTACTTATGCCCTTTAGAATTTGAAAAGGAACATATAATTGATGTCCAATACTCAAATAGAAATAAAGAAATATATTTCCTCCGTTCTGTTAATATTGCAACAAGGAGGAAATTACGCATCCCAAAACACATTTTATATGCTAAATATCTATAATTGTGTAAGAGTAAAATTTATATAAAGTTGATATTGTGAAAGTATTATATGAGACGAATCCAACAAGATCCCACTTGACTATATTTTGCTTAACGTATAACTCATATTATATGGTCAAACAAGAGTAATAAATAGTGCAAAAAGTCCATTGTTGCAATATTAATAGAACAGAGGAAATATGTTCTAAGAGAAAGGGTTAACGATTCAACAATTCATGATAATGTTATAATTGATGAGTCAAATGAATACCCATTGAATGAGCATGATGTCATGTCTGATATGCTACATGATGCCTTTGGAGTTCCATTTGACAATGTTCTTGGAGACGAGATAGTTGGTGTGAGTGAATGCAAAGATCCTCCACAAGCAACAAAAAACTTTTACAAATTGATGGGTGATCTTGAGTTAGAGTTGTATCCTGGCTGTAAGCAATTCTCGAAACTATCTTTGTTGCTTAAGTTATTCCACATAAAATTCTTAGGTGGAATAAGTGACAAAAGCTTGTCTATGATTCTTGATCTAGTTAAAGAAGCATTGCCATAAGGTAACACTCTGCCAAAATCTTTTTATGATGCTCAAAAGATAATAAAGAGCCTATCTCTTGAGTCCATAAAAATTGATGCATGTCCCAATAATTGTATTCTATTTTAGAAAGATCATGCGAATGCAGACGAGTGTGTTAAGTGCCATGCTTCTAGATGGAAAATTGATGAACGTAATAATGGATCTTCCACCTCACAATGTAAGCCTTGAAGGACTCCTAGCAAGACAATGCGTTATTTTCCTTTAATTTCCCTACTTCAAAGATGTCATCCAAAACTGCAGCAAGTATGAGATAGCATAGTGATAAGTGTGTCAATGATGATGATGGTATAATGAGACATCCAACAGACTCTAAAGCATGGAAATTTTTTGATGAAAAATATCCTTCATTTTCTTCAAAACCTCGTAATGTTCGCCTTGGGTTAGAAAGTGATGGGTTTAGCCGCATTAGAAATGGTCATATTCCTCATAGTAATGGCCCGTAGTTCTTATACCATATAATTTACCGTCGTGGCTTTGTATGAAACAACATTCTTTCATTCTTTCAATGCTTATACCAGGTCCTAAGGGGCCAAAAGATAAAATTGATGTTTACTTGCAACCTTTAATAAAGGAGCTAAAATTACATTGGGAAGTTGGTGTTGAAACATATGATGCTTCAAAGAAAGAGATTTATGCATGCATCTTTGTTATGGACTATAAGTGATTATCTAGCCTATGGTGATTTATCTGGTTGGAGAACTGGAGGAGCTGTTGGTTGTCCCTCTTGTAATAGTGATACTTGTTCTGAGTGGTTACCAAATGGAAATAAACACTGTTATATGTGTCATCGTAGATTTTTACCTTTAGATCATAAATGGAGGTATGATGGAAGAGCCATTGATGGGAAACAAGAGTTAAGACCTGCACCCAAACCATTATCCGGTGAGGAATTACTACAACAAATTGATGCCGAATAAGTTGAGTGTTGTAAGAAAAAGAGAAGGCGTGATAAGAAAAAGAAAAAACAAACAAAATTATGGCGAAAGAAGAGCATTTTCTTTGAATTGCCATATTGGAGTATTCTTTTGATACGCCGTAATTTGGATGTGATGCATATAGAAAAAAATGTGTGTGAAACTTTACTTGGGACTCTACTAGATACTGAAGGAAAAAGTAAGGATAATTTGAATGCACGTCTTGATCGACAGGAAATGAAAATAAGAAAGTCATTGCACCCTATAACACGTTCTGATAAATCAAAAGAGCTACCTCCAGCTCCTCATACGTTATCTTTGGAGCAAAAGAGAGATTTGTGTAATTTTTTGACTAGTGTGAAGTTTCTAAATGGGTATGCTTCAAATATTTCAAAAAATTCCCTCCTCAAAGAACGTAAACTCTCTAGATTAAAAATCCATGATCATCATGTTATTATAGAGCATATATTGCCTCTTGCTATACGTGGTTGGCCTAAATCATTGTCTGCTCCACTTATTCAGTTGATCACCTTTTTCAAAGAGTTATGTTCTAAGGCTTTGAAGATTGTCGAGTTAGAGAAACTCGAAAAACAAATTGGTGTAACCCTATGTGCGCTAGAAAGAATATTTCCACCTTCCTTTTTTGTAATCATGCTACACTTACCTTTCATCTTGCAAGTGAAGCTTTGATTGCGGGACAAGTTCATTATTGTTGGATGTACCCCATCGAAAGGTACATAAATTTCATTCCACTTGTTTTTATAATAATAATAATATTTATAATAATTATTATTGTCATTATTATTATTATTATTATTATTATTATTATTATTATTATCAAATATGTAAGTTTTACTATTTTTTTATAGGTATCTTGGAAAATTAAAAGACAATGTACGCAATAAAGGTCACTCGGAAGGATCAATGGCAGAAGGTTATCTTTTGGAGGAATACTTGACATTTTGTTCAATATATATGGAGGATATAGTGACAAGATTTAACAAACCAGATAGAATTTATGACGATCGTGAAATTTTTTCAGTTGATATCCTACCTATAATTGAGACAAGAGGTAGAGCATTTCGAAAGGAATGTCCACGTTTACTTACTACAAAGGAATGGGAAGAAGTTCACTTTTATGTGTTGAATAATTATGACGAAGTACAACAATTTATTGAGTAAGTCTTATATATTTTAGCAAGTACAAAGTGTTGGGTATTGGTGAGTCCGACTCACCGCGAAACAAACCCAAATGATAGAACGCACTCGCAATAAATAAAACCATAAACATAATTCAATTAATCACAAGATTAAGATAAAACAATTACCTTTGGAGCGTGCTTCGCCCAACCGGAAGAGGCTCTTACTTTGAAAGCAAGCCTCAAAATTACGACGACCTCCAACGATAGTCCACCCACAACTCGACCACCGAAAACGGTCCAATGTCTTGGGGTTAGCAAAGCCCGACCAAAACCCGAGTAATTAATGAGTTCAAAGGATTTCACAATGGTGGTGCCTTTTTCAACTCTTACTAAGTGCTTTTCCCAATACCCCAACTTGGATATTTATAGGGAAATGCATGAATGTGAAAAGCTCTCCCATCAATGTGGGAGAATTTGATTTTCCCATTTTATTTTAAAGCTAAAATTAAATTAATAATCAAACTAGTAATAAATCAATAAGTGGCAAACTCATGTGAGAGGTTAGGTGAGGACCATTTGGAGGAGGGGGGACCAAACTTGCTCCCCACTCTCTCCCTCACCTTGATCCACTTGACAACTCCAACTTGGGCACCAAGGCACCCAAGTGGGCTTCCCATATGTGGCTGCCCTTCTCTCAACCCAGCCATCCCCACAACACAAAATGCGGGCTTCTGCTTGCACTCTCTCGACCGGACCCCATGCACTTGTGTACGGGCTGCTGCTGGCGATAGATGCTGCTAGCATGCCGCGCACCTAGTGTGGGCTGCTAGTTGCAACATGCTAGCACGCCACGCTATAGGTGCGGGCAGCTAGCTGCACTTTCCTAGCAAGCCCTGCACTTGATGCGGGCTGCTAGCTTAGCTATAGCCCTTAGTTCTCGGTGTTCCGATGCTAGGGGTATTTTGGTCTTTGTTGATTTATTATTATTTTCACGTCTCGTCTTTTACTATTTTTTTACTCGACTTCCGACGTCCGGTTTTGATGCTCTAAGCTCGAATTCCCGACGTCTAAATATTAATTACTCGGTTGACTTATTAATTCCTTCCGGATTAATTCGTCGCTTCGGTTCGTTAGTTGCTTAGGTGTGACTCGAAGCTGTAATATTAATTATGCATTAATATTACTTATCGGAAGCGGCCTCCACCTAGGCATTCCGATCACCTGACCTTACTGAATATATTAGCTTTCTAATAATTTTGAATCCACTAACGGAGTAGTACACTTGTTCGAAGGATACCATTCCTTTCAATCTCGCACTTGTTCTTCTTGACAAGTGCGCATTTAGTGTACAACCCCTTTCCTATGTCTCTTCATGTCTCTTCATGAACTATAGGGTAAGATTATTCATCATCCCTATTACGTCCAGAAGTGTTTCTCGAAATCCGAGTTTGACTGTCAATAAGCAGATGATTTCTAAA